TAGCAAATCAGCAGAAACAGGGGCAGAACCCAGGTGTCCTGAAAACCCATTCCCAGCTCTAAGTACCTACCCCTCCTTGAACAATATTTTACATTCCCAGGCCATGCAGCGTGAACAAAACACATTGGGCAGAAACATTTGAGTTTCAGAGCAGGGAGGGTCACAGGGAGTGTTGGAGTGGTGCAGTATCCAGTGGGACTCCCGGGAGCAATGGTTTTAGGACACACTAATGACTGGCTGGCATACATCCACAATTAAAATCTCACTAGACTGGAAATGCCTCACAGACAGAAGTATCAGCAAAACAGAATTTAAAAAAAGGCATTTCATTTAAAATACTCCTGCCAGGAACAAGGACTGTGCTTCTGAATTAGCAGGTTTCTGTCCTGCTCCATAAGGGTGCATGCGCTGTCTTCAGCACATAGCCCAAGGGGAGAGGGGGCAGATGAATCCGAGGAAAGGTGCTAATGTGACTGATACAGCAGGAGGGATGAAGATGCAGTGAGAGTGTGAGGAGTATGAAGGAGAAAGAAACTTCGCACACACCTGTAGCTCAGCTTCTGGGTTTTCTCATGAACGTTTTTCAAGATCAGATGTTTGATCGTCTCTTTTCCGAGTTCCCAGCCATGCCACCTGAGTGTTTCAGCCACCTCAATGCCCCAGAATACGCCTTTCTTCTTCTTTGCCTTTCTTGCAGACAGCTTAGGAAGTTGCAATGGGGACATCAGCAGTTTGGGACGGAGGGAGGAGAAATCATTCAAGCAGCTGTTTCTCTATGCTAGAAGTCTCTGACTGGTGAAAGGACGGGAGGAGCCCCCCTGCGGCAAAGCTCCAGGAGTCACTGAAAGCCCTGCTCCAGGAGTCCAGCGGGGACACCTCCCGGCCACAGTCCAAACAACAGGTACTAAAGGGTGTCATGAACGAGGCAAGCAAAGGCTAACGGCTTTTGTTTTCTCCTCTCCCTGCCCTGCCAGCAAATCCACCCACGACAATGGCACCCTTTGCTCCACCACTCACCTTCCTCACACAGCCACAGCACAGCTTCCGAAAAGAGTCAGGGTTTGGGGGCTCGCCATGCGCCTGAGCAAGCATCTGAAAAACAGGAGGAAAGAGTCCTCACGCACGCTGCTCCTGCACCGAGGTGGTCTTCGCTGCCAAGACCTGGGCGCTCCCAGCCATCCAACCCCTCCTCGGGCTCAGGGTGGCACACCTCCCTGCAGTGTCCCCAGCGGTGTCCCCATTTTGCCAGCCGAGTCCAGCCCTTGCCACAGACCACACTGTCCCCAGGCTGCCGCAGTCCCCTTGGCGCAGACCGTGGCCCCCACCTCACCCGCAGCTCAGCCCCCTGTGGGGCTCTCCTTGGGCCTTTGTAGCACAGCCCTGCCCAGCCCACTATAGCCCCGCAGAGCCCAGTGTAGCAAGGCCCTGCCCTGTAGCCTTGCCTGGCCCCCTAAAACCCTGTACAGATGACAGCGGCACGGCCCCGTTCCCTACAGCAAGAGCTGCCCAGCTCCCTGGGGCACGGCCCAGTCCTTTATAACCCTGCCTGGCCCCTGGAGCAGGGCCTGGGCCCCGTGCCACCGCCGCCCTCCCGGGCCCTCCTGGCCAGCCCGGCTCCTCTAGCACAGCCTGGCCCCCGGGAGCCCCCGGGCCACCTCGGGTCCCGGCCGGCCCCCGCCCG